GACTCCTGGTTCCCCAAGTGTTGGCCCCACAGAGCCTCCTACCAACTCTCCAACACTACCATCAAGTAACACTGCTGGGGCACCCAGCACCTGCAGTGAATCATATGTCAATGTTGAGACAAACTACTATGTCTATTTCAGTGGTGACTTCACAGCATTTTCTGATGCAGTGTTAATATCTGGTTTTTCTTCTGGCTATGCTTCTTTAACAACAAGTTCCTGTGCAGAAAACTTGGATCTGGCTGCACCACAACGGCGTTTCACACGAAGACACTTGCAATCATCTGATCCTGTGGTTGAATTCTTGGTCCAAACAAAGCAACTGTCATTTGGAAGTCTTTTTCCTACTTCAGATGAAGTAACCAGGTTTGTTGATGGTTTCAACAATGATCTCCCAGGGGGGACTGCAGTTGCTATCAGAGTGAGTGACACACTAGTTACTGGAACCCCAACAGATTCACCATCCAGTTCACCCAGTGTAGTTCCATCCAATGGACCAACAATCACTCCTGGTTCCCCAAGTGTTAGCCCCACTGAGCCTCCAACAAAGTCACCCACAAGGGCTCATACAGTGGCTCCCACATCATTACCAACCAAGACTCCAACTAAAAGTCCTTCTTTTTCTCCATCAACTACGCCTAGTGAACTCCCCACTAGTTTGCCATCATTCTACCCTTCTTCATCTCCCTCATTCAACCCAACTGTGACACCTGGTAATCCCACCAAGAGCCCAAGCGAGCACCCATCTGCATCACCTAGTGCTTCAGAATCTCCATCTAGAGTACCAAGCACACTTCCCTCATTGAATCCCTCCAATGGCCCGTCCATAGAGCCCTCGACAACACCATCACAAATTCCATCCCAAGCACCCTCTGTCACACCCGGCAGCCCTACCAAGAGCCCAAGCGAGCACCCATCTGCATCACCTAGTGCTTCAGAGTCTCCATCTAGAGTACCAAGCACACTTCCCTCATTGAATCCCTCCAATGGCCCGTCCATAGAGCCCTCGACAACACCATCACAAATTCCATCCCAACACCGTCTGTCACACCCGGCAGCCCTACCAAGAGCCCAAGCGAGCACCCATCTGCATCACCTAGTGCTTCAGAATCTCCATCTAGAGTACCAAGCACACTTCCCTCATTGAATCCCTCCAATGGCCCGTCCATAGAGCCCTCGACAACACCATCACAAATTCCATCCCAAGCACCGTCTGTCACACCCGGCAGCCCTACCAAGAGCCCAAGCGAGCACCCATCTGCATCACCTAGTGCTTCAGAGTCTCCATCTAGAGTACCAAACACACTTCCCTCATTGAATCCCTCCAATGGCCCGTCCATAGAGCCCTCGACAACACCATCACAAATTCCATCCCAACCACCCTCTGTCACACCCGGCAGCCCTACCAAGAGCCCAAGCGAGCACCCATCTGCATCACCTAGTGCTTCAGAGTCTCCATCTAGAGTACCAAACACACTTCCCTCATTGAATCCCTCCAATGGCCCGTCCATAGAGCCCTCGACAACACCATCACAAATTCCATCCCAAGCACCCTCTGTCACACCCGGCAGCCCTACCAAGAGCCCAAGCGAGCACCCATCTGCATCACCTAGTGCTTTGGAATCTCCATCTAGAGTACCAAGCACACTTCCCTCATTGAATCCCTCCAATGGCCCGTCCATAGAGCCCTCGACAACACCATCACAAATTCCATCCCAAGCACCGTCTGTCACGCCGGGCAGCACTACCAAGAGCCCAAGCGAGCACCCATCTGCATCACCTAGTGCATCAGAATCTCCATCTACTGCACCAAGCATGCAACTGTCAGAATCTCCGTCTAGTGCACCAAGTATGCTACCCTCTGTTGCCCCCTCAACAGGTCCTTCCAATGCATCTATGCAACCCTCGACAAGACCATCAGCGGATCCATCCAAAGTACCAACAGTGACACCGGGGACTCCAACCAATAGCCCAAGCGAGCACCCGCCGGCGTCACCCAGCGCATCGGAATCTCCATCTAGTGCACCAAGCATGCAACTTTCAGAATCTCCGTCTAGTGCACCAAGTATGCTACCCTCTGTTGCCCCCTCAACAGGTCCTTCCAATGCATCTATGCCACCGTCGACATCTCCTTCCTTCGTTCCCTCAGCAAATCCATCAATTTTGCCATCTTCTACTCCATCTGTGTCTCCTTCTTCACTTCCTTCCAATGATCCTTCTGCATCTCCCTCTCAGACTCCAACAGTTACAACAGGCACTCCCACCAAAAGCCCTTCCAGCATGCCATCAGGGTCTCCTAGCATGTCATCACAACCCTCCACTGTACAAGCTGCCAACCATCTGTCGTGCCATCCCTGGTGCCCTCAAAGGAGCCATCCAGTCTACCAAGCTTCCAACCATCAGTCATTCCATCCACGGAGCCCTCAAACAGTCCTTCACAATCCTCCAGTGCGCCAAGCTCTCAACCATCACCCATACCATCTCAGGAGCCCTCAAACATTCCCTCTGTGGTATCCTCAGTGGTGCCATCTTTCAACCCATCCACAAGGCCATCAACATTACCAAGCATAAGCCCATCCACCATTCCCTCCAAAACACCAAGTCAACACCCGAGTACAAATGCAAGTGCGGAACCAAGCAAAGGTCCCAGCAGCGTACCCAGTTCTGGTCCAAGTTCCTACCCAAGTAGATCACCAAGTGCCTCCCCCAGCATGTTGCCCAGCGTATCCCCCAGCTCAATCCCAAGTCGCATCCCAAGTGCATCCCCCAGTATGCTGCCAAGTGTAGCCCCCAGCTCTTTCCCCAGCTCTGATCCAAGTGCTTCCCCAAGCATGGTACCCAGCGCATCCCCTAGCTTTTTCCCATCGATGCAGCCCAGTACACCACCAGGTTATGTATTCGCAGACAGAGACGAACTGGATACTGCACTTGGTACCAATTGTGATGGGGATTACTCAACCACCGGAAACTATGGTGATATTTCAACGTGGGTTGTCTCAAAAATTACTGACTTCACAGATGTAAGTGGATCCACGGCACACTTGCAGGCTAGTGAGATTCGAACAGTTTCCAGCTAACCTTGGATCATCCTTGGAATTTCAGCTCTTTCGAACCTGTACCACGTTCAACCAAGATATTTCTCAGTGGGACACCAGCAATGTCATTACAATGAGATCGGCGTTTTTCGGAGCTTCAGGTGAGTCAAGGAGAATGCGTGTCACACCAATCACAATATTATCATGATAGATGCATGGTGCTCACATGTCACATGTTCCTGCATTTCCCAGCATTTGATCAAAATCTGAACAATTGGGATACCAGCGCTGTAGTCGATTTCTACCAAGCATTTTCGGGGGTAAGTTGATATCAACATGATGGACATAGCTTTTGGACCAAAAAAATGGTGTTAAAATTGATATTCTCTCTCGCAGGCAGCTGCATTCACAGGTACTGGTCTTTCCAACTGGAAAATTACGAGTGCAACAGACATGCAACTGATGTTTTATCAAGCAAGCGTGTTCAACGAAAGTGAGTTTAGTGTTGTAGTGACTTGAACCAGGAGCTTGGGTCGATCATAGTACTAACAGTGTGCAACGTCAACTTCCAGATATTGGAAGCTGGGACGTCAGTAAGGTGGAGATTATGACCTCTATGTTTGCCAGGTGCGTGCAGGAAATTGTTTGCCATGCCCATGGATACCCTGGCCGCAAGCCACTCACATGGTGCCTTTTCTTGCATCCCCAGAGCATCAAAATTCGAAAAGGACCTGAGCACCTGGAGTACAATTATGGTGAAAGATTTCGGTCGCATGTTTGTTCTGGTAAGTTGATTCAGGATATCCATGACTTCTCCAAAGCCTGTTTGCACTTGTTGTCTCAAGATGTGATCTGTTTCAGGCAACCTCGTTCACTGGCAGTGGCCTTTCAGGTTGGCAAACTTCTAGTGCAACAGATATGAATGCGATGTTTAGAAGCACAAAGGTAAAGCCGCTGCTTGTTTGATGGATCTTCTTTCGTGCCGTTTTGAAAGCTAACGAAATTTTTTATGTTTTCACCTGCAACAAAGTTCGAGCAGAATCTCAATGGCTGGGATACAAGTTTGGTAGAGGACTTCAGTGAAATGTTCAAGTCGGTAGGTTGATTTTGTATGAATGATTCAATCTTTGATGCTGTTGAAATGAGCGATTTTACTGACTAGCGATTCTTAATATTGATGTTCTCTCAAAGGCAACTTTGTTCACAGGCGGCGGCCTTTCTGATTGGAAAACCTCTAGTGCAACAGATCTCCAACAAATGTTCATGAGTGCAAGCGTCTTCAACGAGGGTGAGTGTTTAGATTTTTCAACCGTGAAGGATTTGCTAACCGTGAAGGATAGGCTGGGCACTAACTTTGATGTCCGTTTTACCTATCCAGACATCTCAGACTGGGATGTGTCCAATGTTGGGGATTTCCAACAAATGTTCAGCGGCGCCAGTGCCTTTTCCAAGGACTTGACTACCTGGGGAACCAAGATCACGAGTACAACAGCGCCTACGACTGAAATGTTTTTGAGTACTTCATGCACTACACAGACAGACCCAGACGTCTCAATCACTCCAAAGGGACCATTCTGCCCCTAACGCTAGACTAGTGCAACTGATAAAACAAGTATTTAAACGTGCTAGTGCCTTCAATGCTGAGCTAATCAATTTGTACACTCGCCGAGGATGGGGCTCCTTCGATCCCTCCAAATCGTGGAGGTCAGCCATACCCTCATATTTACTCGTTCAAGATGATGTACATTTCACGCCGTTACTCCTTTTGGAATGTGTTTCCTTTTGTTAGCTTCTTCTGTCCGACGGATCGATGTCTGGATGTCTCGGCAAGGTCTTGTTTTGGTCCGCAGCTGCATTCGTCCACGGAGAAAAGATAAAGATCGGCTCTTTGCTTTCTTCGGCTGCTTCACGGATGGATCATGGATCGGTTTACTCTTTCAAGCTATAGATAAGAAAAGGCCGGAAACAGTGGCAGAGTAGCAAGCCGATAAAGAGTATCCTTCCGGTCGACGCCTCCCTTGTCTTACACGGAGCGACGCACATCCAGTTTTACCATTACAAACATCGCTAAAACTGAAATCAGGGGATCCATAAGCAGGTGAATGTTTGCGATTGTAGGACTTCCGACAGTCCTCGGCACGGACCTGATGGGTGGCTGGACAGCGATCGAAATGGAATTTGACACTACCTACACTCTGACTGCACGGGAATGTGCCAACGGCTTTCTGCTGCGGCTGCCCAAGAAATCGCATCGCCCCCCAGTGTCCATCGTGCACGTATTCCGTGTTCAGTTAATTTCTTTTGCACAATGTTACTGAGGAGCCTTGCTGCCTGCGACCAAAATCCAAGGCTGGGTTTAGGCTTCCTATAGCAAATGAATAAATGAAGGTTTGGGGGCGGCACTGCGAGAGACAGGAAGGAAGCTCAAGACCCATGGAAATGGAATGGTGGCAGGCCACGAACGTCTATAGCTAGCTCTCGCCATGTATCACCAAAGAGCTGATTCGATTGATTGGACAAGACCAGAATGTGAGACCATTGTACTCCATTGTTTGCCTAACAGTTCAAGACCAGAAGCAGCAATCTCACCTGGAAGCGACCCCTTTCGCCACGTAACACTCCGGCCGTTACAGGTCCAGAGTTAAGGCCTATGCGAATTTTCAGATCGCCTGTATCGGGACCAAGATTTGGCTCGAGCTCTCTGGTCTTACTCGACATCATTTGAATGCAATGGGCAGCAAACTTCACTGCGCAAATCACGTGGTCCTTGTTGGGTGTTGGCAGCCTGTGATCGAGGTGCAAGAAAAAGGTGAGCGAGATGTGAGCGGAAACCTGAAATGTGGTCTTGATGGGCATGCTGCAGAGATGGAGGTGTTGATTCTCCTCGGTGTATTGGTGGAGCTGCCCCATGTGGTTTGCCAGCTGGCTAGCTCAGCTCTAGCTAGCTGGCGTCTACATGTATCTCTAGCAGTAGAGCCCCAAGATTCTGCACTGTGACCAAACCAAAGGGCGGTACCTGTACCGTACCAATGACCAAAGCTGTTGTCATGCATGGTTCATGGTGTCATCAAAAAATAGAAGTCTTGCTCTTGAACCATCAATGGATTCACCGAAGAATTCTCTGGAGCATCCATGTCCTTCATCAAAGATCAGGGCTTCGCAATCAACGCTTCTCACCGAATGATGAATCGAATCTCACCACAACCACACAGTCGCGGGAGCTATTCGCGGGACGAACCTGTGAAAGGATCTTGAGCTGATCTTGCTGCTTGCTAAATAATTGTGCATATGTGCGTGGAGCGGTGCTACATGTACGGTACACACGTAAGAACAACATCGTTGTTCCTTGAGGAGCTGTACCGGTGGAGCTAGCTAGCAGCTAAAGATATCCTAGAGGCTGCATCGGGCTTGCCTTTGGATAGACTCATAAAATTGATTCTAGGGCAGCAAAGAAGACAACCAACCAAACAGCCAAATAGCCAATCTTTCCTCCTATTTTCTCTGTTTTACCATGAGTTCTACCGAAGCTGCCGCTCTTGACGATGCTCGCCTGAACGAAGTTGGAGACTTCTACTTGGCTTGCTACAACGAGTACTTCACTGGAAACAAGTCCTTTGATGAAACGTTTGGATCCATTGTGGCGGATGATATTGTGTTTTCGGAAAATATGAAGGAAAAGGTGGGGCTTGTCGCCTTTAAAGAGTACTATGAAACTGCTTGGAAACCTGCCTTTGCAGGATACGAAGCCCAAGTCATTCAGCGCTTCCGTCCATTTGGTACCAACATCCTGTCCTTCTCCATCATTGCTCTGGCAGACCTACACATTGACTGCCAGACGGGCATGTCACCCCAAACACACACACTCCATTTCAATGACGATGGCAAGATTGTGCGCATGGAACACTTGTATGCCCTCAGCCCCTGGACTCTCAAGGCTTTGGGAAAACTCCAAGAGATGGCAGCTGCTAGTGGAGGCAAGTAGACCTCCTCACTATTCCGGTAGTACGTCGTACCCCTCTAGAGTACCTACAACGGAGCATTCAGCAGTGTGAGCAGAAGCTGTCATAAGGCAAGTTGCAAGACTCATGATTCAACCGGCTTCTGGTTTGTTTCTGTAGTCTTTTAGTTTAACCAGTGATAAGTGAGTATACATTTATGTTCAAATCAGCATATAGATACAAGTTCTAGCTTTCTCGTAGCCAGACACTCCCCTCGAAGAAGGTGCACTACTTCAGCGTCGAATCGCTTTTCTGCTACACTTCTACCTCCTTGACCCGGCAATCCTCGGCGTCCTGAATGTTCCTCATCATCTCTTTGACAACATCTCTCCCTTTTTGCTGCCATTCTTTCCGGTTGGCCAATGCATAGTTCAGGAACTCATCGGACGATACTCCAAAAACCCCACAGTCGCTCAGCTTTTTAGCTAGCGGGATGATATAGTAGTCAAAGAACCCTGAGAAAAGGACGAGTTAGTGCCGTACTTGATCAATTCCCAATTCTGATATTCAGCTCGCCACCCAACTCCAATGCATCAAGTAAGCAACTCACCTAGTTCGCCCTCGTACCAAAAGACGGAGGGATCGTTCTGTGCTCTTCCTTCTTTGTATGCTTTGTACATCTCTTCAAAGAGGCACTGATTCCATTTTCGAAAGACATGCCAGTGCTGCATCTGCAGATGCAAAAACGCGTGGAGACGACATCGACAACAGAAAAATATAAGCTCCAGACAAAAAAGTACAGCAATGCAAAGAGTTTGCTTCGATGCACACATTGCAAGAACTTACGGTGTGACTGACATCACTGGCTTGAATTAGGTGCTCAATGACGACTGTGGATCTCGCATTCTGTCTCTCAATCTCATCGCCACATGCGTCACCCTCTCCCTGGAATGCCCTTTCCCATCGAGAGTTGCGCTGCTCCTTGAGTTCCTTATCCATGATACTGTTGTTACAAAATTGGCGACGATAAGAGACTCCACGATCGATAAACAGGAACCAACAAGCCTGCAAAAGCCTGCAAACTTACTCGGTAGCCATGACAGTGTTGACGACAAGCGCCCGAAAGTGCCGCCGGTCCTTCTCGGTTGCACAGATTTCGCTGTACAGGTCTGCGAATTCTTCCTCCAGAAGGAGATCCAAACTGAGTTCCAGCGAGTGTTGCTCTGCAACACTCCTGTTCTTGTATTTGACAGCCAATGGTGAGCCTTCCAAGATGAGTTGGTTGTTCGTAACTCCCGGGTGGTCCGCTGCATATACCGTTCGAGATTCGTGAAACAAGGCAGGATTAGATAAGACGCATGACAAGCAATTCTGCTCGCAGTAGAGAAGCTTAACCGTAGCTTACCGTCGTGGATAAGAGCGCCAAAGCAAATGGCAAACCTCGTTAAGGGGTTGTTTGTAAGCCCATAGGTGAGGTCTTCCACAGAGTCGTCGCCGTGATGAGACTTGTCGTTCGTCACGATTCGTGAGAGCACTTTCGTACAATTCATCGTCACATGCGACGCATGGTCAAACTGAAACGGCCAGCCAGGAAAGGATGACAAGTGTGAGACACAACGTTATGATTTAGTTAGTCAGCACTTGCGAATTCTTGCTTACATTGTGAAACGGATTCTTGAAATGGTACAGATCGGAGATGCGCCTGATGAACTCTCGTAGTTGGTCCATAACCACAGGATCCAAGGGCCGGTTAATCCTATCAATTGGGGCCGGCTCTGAGCTTGGGACAGGTGAAGAAACCTCCAAAATATCCATCACCTCGTCCAGCAACGTCCCTCCTCCGTTCGTGTGCCTCTCTTCCTTGTTGAATGATGATCTGAAGCCACTGGTGGCCGTGGTAAGGGACGTCCTCGATGTCGATGATCGGACCGACTGATTGGCTTCGCGATGCGCCACAATTTCCCTCAAGAGCCTTGCGAAGACTTCGGTGTTCCAGTCGATGAGTCGTTGTGTTTTGTCGTCTGGAGTGTCGAGTCTCTTTGTTTCCACGTGTTCGTCCTCTTTCAAAGACGAGGATGAACTTTCATTGCTACAATTTGTCGCAGAAACTCCTTGCTGACGGTTCGAAGGGTCCACAAAGTACGTAATCATTTCGCCCTTGCCTTTGGCGGTGACTCTGTCCTTCCGCTGCGTGAGCCAATGGTCTTTACCTGCCTGAGTCAAACAATCTGCTGTCTCTTGTGACACATGAATTCGATTTGCGACCCCATTGGATTCCATTCTAGCGGCAGTGTTGACTGAAACACGAAGGGAATTAGGCAACAAAGAGAAACTTGTGAGTTACCTGGACAGTCCTATACACTGAAAAATACAAGGCGTTTTCGGTGAGATTGGGCACCAATGCCATACCTGTATCACCAAAGAGCTGATTCGATTGATTGGACAAGACCAGAATGTGAGACCATTGTACTCCATTGTTTGCCTAACATTTCAAGACCATAAGCAGCAATCTCACCTGGAAGCGACCCCTTTCGCCACGTAACACTCCGGCCGTTACAGGTCCAGAGTTAAGGCCTATGCGAATTTTCAGATCGCCTGTATCGGGACCAAGATTTGGCTCGAGCTCTCTGGTCTTACTCGACATCATTTGAATGCAATCTGCAGCAAACTTCACTGCGCAAATCGCGTGGTCCTTGTTGGGTGTTGGCAGCCTGTGATCGAGATGCAGGCAAAAGGCGAGATGTGAGCGGAAACCTGTAATGTCGTCTTGATGGGCATGACATGCATAGAGTTTCTTTACATACCCACAAACGGCCACATAGGAATCTTTGGGGCAAGCAAAAGTAGAAGGGGAGAACACGATGAGCCACGGGAGAGGATTCACACCGCAGATCCGAAATGAATACCATCAGGGGAACTTTTGTTGACTCACCTCCTATTGTTTCAACCTGGATATGTTTCGGGAGAGGAGACAACGAGCTCGTGAGCAACCCCAGATATAAGCATCAAACTCGGATCCGTCTATGCTACTACGAGTCAGTCCCACCTTGAAAACATGACGCCGCTGAAACATAATAGTCATGAAAGGTGCATTAGAAAACACGTGCATTGATACAATATAGCCGAAGCCCGTGCTGGATTGTCTTATTACTTACCTTGGCACATTCATCAAAGGCGCTGAACAAACATTCCAACAGCGTAAATACTTGCACGGGTTCTCTGCAACCTGACCACGCAGTAAAGCCTGTGTTGGTTGGTCATGGGGCAAGTGTCAGTGAGTAGGCAGCCACCTGGGTGACGCTCAATGAAGCCAAGTGCCATTGCAATGCTAGCTCACCTTGAATGTCGGCAAATAGGACAGTGCAATTGACAAACAAGTCTGCAATGGGTACATCCGCGCCAAAGGCAGGGTCCATGCCATCCGAGTCGCCGAGTAGTTCTTTGAGCTTGGATAAGGGATCATCATCCAAATCGATATTGCATGTCTTTTTGGTCTTCTTCTTCTTCTTGTTCTGAGCGTTGTTGTTGTTCTGCAATGATGATTGCCGACTGTCGCTGTGATTGACTACCTGAAACAATCTGTCCTGAATATCCTTGGGGAAGAGCGTGTCGACAAGATTGGATGCTTCTTGTGCTTTTTTAGTAACTTGTTCCATCTGATCGTGGATCCTGCCTCCCACAAGGAGAAAGGACAGGAATAGGCATACACAGAGAACCACAATAAAGACAGTGCTGATGACGGGCCCATTGGTGGACGTATGGTTCTGGTAGACTGCAGTTGGGTAGACATCGAGCTGGTATTGGCCACACGCGTAGTCTTGGGTAAAGGCAATGCCATCGGAAGATTGTGCGACTCCAGTGGGGAAGCTGTTGGATTGTTTCAGATCCGAATAAAATGGATGATGTTGGTCCCCTTGTCCGATGTACTGCACCGTGTTGTTTTGATGTAGGTGATACGAATGGGTCTGGTTGCAGGAGTGGAGCACCACCATGACTCGTCCCGGCACGTGTACTCCCAGGGCATTGAGAAGGAAGGATTGGAAGAGAAAGGGAGCCACGAGCACTGCCACCACGGTATGATCTTGTTCGTCGTTGTCACTGTCATCATCAAAGATTGGAAGGATCATGAGGCTGATGGGTTCCCCGTCTTGTTGTCCTTGCACGGAAAAGATGTCTAAATGGTTCATCATGTTCTGTTCGTCATCGCTGCCCGGGAGAGGCCCGGTAAGAACGGCTTTCTGGGTCTTGTAGACGGCTTGTAGGGCACTGGAAATGGAAGGCATGGAGGCTAGATTAAAGTTTGCGTCGTGAGCGGCATTGGCAGAAGGAGCAATCTGCCAGACCGGTTGGAAGGGTCCCGGGCCATCTTCCGGCACCTTGGTGCCATTCGCCTGAATCTTGAAGATCACAGGAGCAATTCTAGTATCGCTCCAGTACTGAGCATGTTCACTGGAATATGTCTCCCATTCAAGGCGTTCTTGTTGGTTGTCTACCAAAGGACTGATGAAGACTTGAGAGGTTTTCATGATGGCCAAGGAGTGGGCAGCTTGGCTTTCGAAGTGAGGAATGGTGAGGAACGGCCAGCTCGTGGGAGTGGATGGATCCATCGCGGGTCCTATAAGTTGAGTCGCGGACGCAGTCACGCTTGCCAAAGACCCCAATGCCGCCATGGCTTCGAGGTTGTTGCTGCCTTGTTGTCTGATGTGAGCTAGAAGCTTGTGGGCGTCCTGAGCAAAGGCTTCGTGAAAGTGCTGGTCATCCCAATCCAAGCTAAGGAAAGCTACTGAAAAGCAGAGGACAAGAAAGACTACCACCAAGAACGGCCCGACACGGCTTTTCAGGCGCAACGAGTCCGAGCTGCTCGTAGTAGAAGAAGGGGTAGCAGGAGCAGTCCCGCCGCTGCTCGTGTTGATATTGGTCATGCCAAAGTTGACCAGATCGCTGATACCCATACTTCGTTTGGGTGCTAGTAAGTCTACCTGATCTTGATCTTGCTCTTGAGGACCGTCGTCCATGGAAAGTTCAGAATCGTCCATAGTGGTCACCATGGTGTTGCGTTTTGCTTTTGCTTTGCTTTGCGTTGCTCTGCGTTGCCAGAGCACGAGCCTTGCTAGAACGAGCCTTTTCGGGTCACAATGAAGCGGAACTCCAGAAAAATGAAGACATAGAAGCAAGATAGAAGTTCAAAGCAAGATAGAAGTTCACTGCATGCGCAAGTTTCACCGGTCAACGATGGATAGAAGGTCGTAAGGCGAAACCTCGGCGACTGCCAACTCGCTTCCAACAGAAGGGGATCGAAAGCAGACACTGTCCTATGGCCCTGCACACTCCACTCTAGCTAGCTAGCACCACACACCACACCAGAGGCACCATGACAATGTACTAGCTAGCTAGCTAGCTAGCTAGCTAGTAGCTAGACTACTTTTCCTGTTCCACGAGTATTGATCCAAGATCCGACTGGCTTATGGCTGAGCTGAGTGTACTGTTTTGAGAACAGCAGGTATTATAGTGAAAATACATGCAGGATGACTTATATCTCTTTCTTTGAATGAGACAATGAGACATTTAGGGAGTACAGGAGGTATTATGAGGTTCGCTCCCGGCAAGCCTCTTCTTAAAGCTTACTCTTCTTACTGATCTACTCAGTACTCCGAGTCGCCCAGCACAGCTCGTATTGTGTGGTCACAGTTCCAGGTCACAGCGTGGTCCTAAGTCCTAAAGCTGTCCTACCAATACATAGCTACGTAATGTTTCCAAAACAGTTACTGTTACCGCTACCAGGACCGTCCGATGCTTTTCACTCAGGATTTAGAAACATCGTAAATTGTCACGACTGACGAAACCCTTTCAAGAACCCCTTAAACAACCCCTTCAACAGGCCCTTAAAGCTTCAACATCCCAGTAAACAAACCCTTAACAACATCCCTTATGTCATGAAACAAACCTTTTTAAGCCTTCATTGAAACGCCATACTAGTACAACAACCCCTTATCATGTAGAAGAACAGCAGCTAGCTAGTGTACATACAGGATGACCCATGACCTTACTTCTCTTTCTTTGAATGAGACATTTAGGGAGTACAGTAGGTATTAGGAGGCCCTGCAACTTCACTCCCGGCACTGTGTTCTAGATCAGGTCACAGCGTGATCCTAATTGAAAGCAGAAAATAGGTATTGAAGTCATTTGATGTACTAGCTAGTAGGGAAGCAAGTAAGGCTTAGTAAGGAGTTGCTTTGGATGTGTTGCATACTGGCACACCGGCACGCATGTGCCGGTAGAGCTTGTCGAAGCTTCTAGAATGAGAGATGTGATTGTCAAAGAAACAGAGATTTAATGAAAACTATTAACCATCGACCAAGAAGTAAGTGAACTTCGAGCTACTTCATGAGAGAATTATCGATCGTCTCATCGTCTCAACTGGGTGGTTAATTCTCGCTTTCTGGTACGACAGCTTACGACAATTAATTATACTGTACTATAAAGGCTGCTCAGTACCTCTTTACCTGGACGAGAACCCCTTGAAGTCATTTACAAGATTCGCAAAAAGAGGAAAAAGACCGAACTTTTATTTTTGGAAGCTCGTCTCATCACTTTTTCACATCTTCTGTGTAATTTTCTTTCCTTTGCACAAGCTAGATCAAGACTAACTGGGACCGACCATGAGCACCTCGGATGCGCAAGCGAGAGCGTTGGCAATTCTGCCCAAGACGACGGGATGCATCTCCATTATCGGTAGCTCAATCATTGCGTTTTCAGTTTTGAGGGACAAACAAAAGCTATCTAAGAGCTACCATAGGCTACTACTAGGCATGTCCCTGGTAGATGTTCTGGTCTCCTTCTGGGAAGCACTGTCCACGTGGCCGATGCCCACCGATAGCGAAGCCATGTTTGCAAGTGGCAACTTTTCTACCTGCGTCATGCAAGGATTCTTCATTCAGTTCTATGTTGTTTCGTCCTTCTATTCTGTAAGCTTGGCTATCTACTACACCGTTGTGCTGCGATACAACTGGAGCGAGGACCAGGTCAAGAAGCTGGAACCATATCTGCACTCGATTCCGCTTCTGTGGGGATTTGCCACTGGCATCATTGGCATTTCTTTGAAGCTTTACAATCCTGCCGGCTTATGGTGTTGGATATCCCGTAAGAGCTGGCTTGCTGGCTCCAGCCAGATTGCTAGCTAGTCTAGCTAGCTAGTCTAGCTAGTCTAGCTAGCTTTGACTGATTGCATCATGCAAGTTACGTTGCACGAAGCTCACTATTTTCCTTTTCTTTCTACGTTTCTTCATCTACAGCTTTCCCAGGTGGATGTTCCGGGGATGAATGCATTCGAGGGATCAATGGCAATACCTACAGGTGGGCATTCTTCTACGGTCCTCTATGGGCCAACATTGCCTTTGTCACCATTGCCATGGCTCTGGTATGGGTCAATGTCCGAAAGGGAGCCTCGCCCACGAACAACTCTGACAGTGCTTCGATGAATGGATCGAGGCATAGTACAACCAAGCAGCAAAAGACTCAGCTACTCAAGAATGATACCGGGGCTTTAGAGAGGGACCAATTGGCCAAGAAAATCAAACGAGACGTGGCATTTCAGGGGTTCCTCTACAGCGGATCTTTCTACGTTACATGGATTTGGTTGACTGCTGTGCGGTTCCTACAGCTTATTGGAGAGCCGGTTCCCTATCAGCTTCTCGCTGCTGCCGCCTTTTTTGCACCGCTTCAAGGTATGTTGCTTTGCACGTGTTTTTATGTTTTTGTTTCCAACTGCGAGCAGTCGCTTACTTGACAAGCACAAATCTCATTCTGATTCGATCGTTCGTTCACTTTCAGGGTTCTTCAACGCATTGATCTATCTGTCACCCAAGTTCATGGCGGTAAAGAAAGCAAACCCTGATGCTGGCTTGTTACGATGGATTCGAGACGCCATATAGCTCTACTAGTAGACGTACATCATGAACTACATTCATGCACAAGAACTTCCTAATGAACTATAAAGGTTCTATACGAACGTGCTTACTGTGTCTGGGTCTTCCCATCAAATTGTAAATAAGTGAACAACTGCCACGAGATTCGAAGGCAAGATGTGTTGTCGGTTCCAGCATCCATCCATCCTTTCTCTGATCTGATCAAGACACGAGCACTGTCATCAGTGGGGAGGACAGGGAAGTCAACTCTTCGTCGTGTCTATGGAAAGGAGATGCGTCGTCTCCTCTGGTTCTTTCGCACCGAGCGCAGCTATCTGTTTTAAATCGCATCATGACCGCTCGTGGTTTTCGCTGTTGGCATCCCTGTGTGACGCGCGCCGTAGATTGACTAGCCAGATGTCCCCACCTTTCCTCCAGAACGCTTTCCCGACTTTTTCTCCGCCAAGTATTGTGCATGCTCTCCCCGAAGTTTTGTGATGCGACTAGCCGCATAAGACATGTGCGACGCCTTGTCCACCTTTGGAAGGTTCGAAGGCGGCAGAGACAGAGAGCTATGGGACCCTCTTCGTTCGTCAACGTCATTCGTTGCTTCCTCGTCGTCCTCGTCCTCGTCTGCTGCCTGGCTGTTGTTGTAATTTAGGGAGAACTTGGAAATTTGCACGGCAGCCCACGAATTCTTGTTGTTTCCCAGAACGTCAGTCGGTTTCCCATCATCCTGATGAAAGCTGCTGCCTCCTTCATCTTCAAAGTCAGAGACCGTGCTACTATGATCATCGTCGCGCTTTCCACCCTCCCACGTGGATGGATTTGATGGAGAAGCCCACGAGTCTCTGGACAAAACATCATCAGGCTTTTTCTTCTTCTTGGGTTGCTTCGACGCGGAATTCTGGCTCCCGCGCAAGATGCTGTTCTTGTCATTGCCTCTTTCGGTCGTGCTGACGTCTTCTTTCCAGGTTACGCCTTTGTTCGAGGCATGACCCGAATCAGCAGCAAAATTTCCACTGGTGAGATCACCGTTGTCGCCGCTACTACTCTTTTTGGCCATGACCGAGTTGGCCATGACAGCCGAGCGATCCGTGCGTCTGGTTGTGAATTGCTCCACCGCTCTCTTGACTTCGTCCTGCCCCACGTCGCCCTTGAAGTGTACCGAAAACATCAAATTTCCAAACAGCAACATGACCACGCAAAGATCATTCATCCAAATAACTGTTTGTTCCAGAATGAGGAAATCAAATTCGTCCAATTAGTCTCGACAGACATCACGCAAAGGCGTCAACTCGAACATGAACCAATGCATTTGACTTACTGGTCGACCTTACAAAGAAGCTCGTGGCTGGCTCTGAACCGATAATGATCAAAATTGGGACTCCTACAATGAAGATCTGCATCGATCGATCGATCGAATGAATGAATGAATTAGCATTACAGACGCAAGTGAGGAAAAATGGCTGAGCAGGCAATCAATAGCACCCATCTACCTGCATGTCTGTTCGTTCCAATGGATCGAACTTGCGCATGTCATGCACAAACGTACGTACCTGGAGGTTGCTGATCATGGCAATGGAAACATACTTGCCTGTGTTTGAGCGATTCGGCAATTTGTGAGTACACTTACTTACTTACTTGGTTCAGCCACCTTTTGCTAAAATCGCATGAAAAACATGTGCAAACTTGCCTTCCGAAAACCGCGTGGGGATATCTCTGGCAACATAACATAACCAACAGGCAGTCGCCAGCAACAGGAGATGCAACCCGGCGAGTGCTGCCGCAAATGCCAGCCAGTTCTCCGAGACGCATTTTCCTTCACTTTCCAAGGGAGCCCCGAATTGGTCCGCACTAATGACGGTTCGTTCCCATTGTAAGGGATCCACAAAGGTCCATACGACGAGAATGATGCAGTCGACAAAGAGTACACCTCCAATAATGCCCACAGTTTCGGATGCGGAAATGATATTGCTGCGACTAGTTCCGCTGACCGATGCACCGTGTCCTACGCGATTGTCCGCTGCCTTTTTGAAAATGGCGTACACGCGCAGAATCTTGGCAAAGAGAGTCCCAAAGGTAATGGAAACTGACGGGCAATTTCAAGAATGAAAGCAACAACAAAAACGAACAATTAAGTGAGGCACTTGGAGCCATACACACGAGGAGTGTCAATTCATTTGATATAATAATTCCACTTACATCCAACACTGTACAACCACGGAATGGCCATGCAAGCCGGTACAGATCCATCTCCTTCATCTTCTTGTGAGAGTGCTAGGATGGTACTACTTGAAATGAAGCATCCGACGAGCACCAATGCCAGAAAGAATGGTTGTGACACGCGCACTTGTACCGAGTTTCGTTGCCAGAATAACCATAGAGCACAAAGTAGAATGGCCATGACGTTGATGCCCAACATGGTGTAGGCAATAATGATCTGCGTTTGAAAAACAACGACAAGAGTGTGTGTGTGAGTCTGTCTGTGTGGATTGTTTGTTTCTTTTGTATGAATATGTATATATGTATGTACATGACTGTGAACGCACCATGTACTGAGGAATGAGATTGAGTTCTTCTTCTACTTCAATGGTACAATCCTCTCCTTCCCACTTTGTAGATTCACAGACACAGACTCCTCGTTTGTCGGATGTTCCATGGATAGGATCACAGGGTTTATCACAATCGTCTCCTGCCGTTCCCACCGGACAAAGTGACTTTTGAAAGTACTTGGAGTACAATTCATCTAGCGTGGCATTGGTATTGGCATCTCGTACCCATTTTTCCATGAGCAATCGAATTTCAAAGGGTATCTGATAAGAGTAGGGCCATACTTTGTACTGTGTATTGAATTGTTCTCGTGTAACTTCAATTTCTGGATCCCATGCCATGGAATATCGTGACATGAGTTCATCTTCGGCACTGAGTACGCAGTCTCCATTTTTGAGTGCAGCAATGCATTCTTCCAGAGTGGGACATGGTACAAAGTTTCCCTTTGGGAACTTGGCCTTGACAACCGTGGCAAAGAATGTTCCTGACTTTGCACAAATGGGTGCCCCGGAGTCTTCTGCTTCTTTGAGTGTGGTGTAGTCTTTGGCACCAGGTGGTTTGTCAACGTATTTGAGTGTGGTAATGGTGGACCGTAGCCATGGAGGGGAGAGGGCGACTCGTGTACAACGAGCCGGGGTGGCGTAGTAACTGAATACACGTGCAAGTGTACAGGAGAAGAAAGAGCGACGTGTAAGATTCCTCAGTCCGTACATGTGCATGTAGTATCTAGCTAGATAGCTAGTGCAAGCTAGCTAGTGGATACTTACTTGGCAATGATAAAGTCAAACTTTTCACAGTCTTCCTTTGTGTTTGGGTTTTTGGTGGTGTTGCAGTCTGCATACATGTAGAATAGAATAGATAGAGTAGAATAGAGGAGGGTGAGACAACCATGATTGTACTAGTACCTGTATGATAAGATAGAGATATCCCGAGCAAGTCCAAGATACTGGCTAGTAGTGTAGATATTTTTGTGACTCACCATTAGCGACTAAATCAAGTGCGGGATTGAAATTGGGCGGACTAGGGCTAAGGTCTACTTGCAGCAGCACGCCATCTTGCTTGGCAAAGACTTTGAGACTCTCCAACATGTCGATTTGAAATCCGCTGTAGACAATGGACCCGTCGAGTCGCTCTTCTAAGATGGCAAAGGGCGGAGCGTGGAGAACTCCAGCGCGGAGAGAAACACGAGACGGAAATTGCCACCCATCGATTTCCACGGTCTGGTCAGAAGATTCCACGGTCGTGGAAGTTGTGCTTGTTGTAGTACTTGTTGTAGTAGCAGCAGCCGGAGCAGCGGAGGAGTTGCTGCTTGTTGCTGTGGCATTGTTACTAGTACTAGCGCTAGCACTAGTAGTAGCAGACACCAGCAGCAACAGATAGAGCAGCCGAAGAGATGAAGCAGAGAACAGCGTTGCGATCGCCATGGTCGAGAAATAAATAAATTAGCTTATTTTGTAAATAATAATGACAGAAGCAGAAGAATCAGATGATGGCCGCAAGAGAGAATTTTGAAAGGGGAAACTGGTCATGCCGGTTTTACGATCGGCAGATTTCGGACATTTCGACATTATTTGTTTAAGCCACCCATTGCCCTTCCTCCAGTCAACACATGTAAAAACAATGATTCTTACTTCCCCTTATGAGCTCCTTAGTTCCTCACTCCACTCACCTTCTTTTTCTATGAACTCTGTCGGCAACTCAGCATTAATGAACAGTTCTAAAAAACTCGAAACTGTGTCTAAGATTTAAAGGGAAGCTTCGTTCCTGTGCAGTCCGTCATCCCAAGCAGTCTCATCACTCATCAATGCAAGCATGCAGCACAGTATTAATTAATATGTCAGAGTTCTGTAGCAATGTAGCAATACAGACAGACAGTCGCTTCGTTAGTTATTACATGCATAGTCATAAATAGGCCTAGAGAGACTAATCACATCTCACGTCCAATGACTTGGAATAAGCCAGCTGTATCACTTGAGTGCTTACTTGATTGATTTCTTCGAGATCTATTTTCTTAGGAGGAGGAGGACGCTACTGTGGGTACGGTACGTACCGGTACCGGTACTACCGGTGCACTTTATGCTCCGTGCAGTTTCGAACGATTTGTATTCAGGATCCGGAATAGCTTATCTTAAAACGAGCCCATCGACTTCCATTGTACATGTACAGCACAAGTTAGAATGGCATGCAGATCAGGACACCGGCCTTCCTTGACGTTGGCTATATCTGTCCTTCCAGCCACTTTTTGATCGTATCACTAGCTAGCTAGCGATACCCAAATTCCAGCAGCTACTGAGACCATGTGCTGGTAAGCGTCGTCGGACGGTCCTGGATCTCCTTTCTTTGGTTGTTCAACACTAAGGGTTTACTGTGTTCCAGATCCATTTCCTGTGGAATGTACTGGTACATACATGCATGCGGATGTGAAGCAATGTCCCTAATGCAATTCATTTTCTTTCAATGAATCCTGTCCCTGTCCCTGTAGATGTATCATAGATGTACATAACTCTTCAGCAGACGACTCTTCTGTTGTATACTCCGCGCTTTACTGTTAACTACCGTGTGTTTGCCAGGTTAATTCTTGGCTTGCCATCATTATTCTCTTCTGGGTGTTTGTGTTGGCGTTTCTTTTCGGGCCATCAGCACCACTCTTATGATTGTTACTTATTTATAAGTTCTTAACGAGCGAATCAATCCTTGCGAACATGTACCTTGTCTTTGCCGTAAGATCATCAGAACATGCCCGTAATAAATCGTTCTCTGAGTAGTATTATCCAGTCGTTTCTTTATTAAGCCCTTGGTTGAGACATGGTTTTTGGTAAAAGTCTTGGCCACCCAAGAAAGCCACGTCGCAACCGTAGGGTGGAGCCGTAGAGATCTGGCTGTAGGGACAAACAGCACAGGGCGCTCTCAGATCGGTGTTTCTTCCCCAATCTCATTCTTTTTTTTGAGCACGCCTCAGCCGAAACAAAATCACATTTGACCATACAAAGCCGAGAACAACCATGGATCCCGACGGCTCTCGAGATCATCCTGCGGATCAAGGAGATGACACCCGTGTACCAGTACCAGCCATGCTTCCTGTAGCTTCAGCGACTCCTATTGTGAATCAGACTACTATTAGCACTGCTACCGAGACTCCGCTTGTTCCGGTGGAACTCTTGGACGATACAGTGGATGAAGCAGAAGAAACTCCTCCTTCCCTACCCAGAAAAGGATTGCGCAACAATCACAATGGCCCCACAGCCACAGCCACAGCCACAACAAATCAACAAGTAAGAGAACGCACATCGGCAGCTGCGGCCAGACATGGACTCAGACAGAGACCCAATCAAGCTCAATCCAATCCAGCTCAATCCAATCCAGCTCAATCCAACCAAGCTCAGACAGCTGTTATTGTTCATGATGGTGCTGACGCTCCTCAAGCTACCGCTGCTACGTTCGCTGCTGGCCATAATGCCAGCAGCATCAATAACAACATGCTTGATGAATCGGAATCCATGCTGTTGGTTCCAGATGCCCCTTCGTCAGGAGGCCTTTGGACAAGTTCCATGATCCATGCCAAGACAGAGGCAGTCAACGATTCACCAGTGCCGAGCCCGCATCTGCATGATATCAGAGAGCAAGACACAGAAGCAGTCAACGATATTCAAGAGCAATATGAAGCAGACACAACCAATGATAACAACAACAGCAGCAACAAAAACCAGCAAGAAGATGAGGACAACATCACTTGCCAAATTCCGAGGAGAAGAG